TTTCCTAAATTTTTCCAAAAATAAAATATATAGGTGGCGACTCTGTATCTGGCAAACAGTCCAATTTTGATACTTTTTTATTCAAAATCAATTTTCCAAAACGATTTGCCAGATTTAGACTTTTTGGTGTTTATCAGTTTCACATTACACTTGTGAGATTATATTTAGAACTGCGGGAGTTCGAACTGTAGAGCTTTCTTTTCGAGCTTCCGAAAGGGGGCACGAAAAAGCCGAGCTATAGATTGATTCAACTCTTTTCAAGAGTCTAATTGGAAGTTTACGGTACTTGACTTGCACAAGACCGGATATTCTTTTTGGAGTTGGGTTAGTAAGTCACTTTATGGAAACACCAACAATGACTCACTTTAAGGTTGCAAAAAGAATTATTCGTTATGTTAAAGGAACAATTGATTTTGGCTTATCTTATTCATCCTCATTGTGATAGTGATTGGGCTGGAAACTTGGATTATAGAAGAAACACTACTGGCTTTGTGTTTTTCTTAGGAAATACAACTTTTACTTGGAGTTCAAAGAAAGAACCAATAGTAGCACTTTCTACTTGTGAAGCTGAGTACATTGTTGCTACATCATACACTTGTCATGCAATTTGGCTGAGGAATTTGATGAAGGATTTGCAATTTTCACAAGAGAAAGCAACATAGATCTTGGTTGATAACTAGTCAACAATTGCCTTGGCCAAGAACCCAATGTTTCATGATCGAAGTGAACATATTGATGCGAGGTGTCATTTTGTAAGAGAATGCATTGCGAAGAAGGAGGTACAACTCAAGTTTGTGAAATCTAATGATCAAATTGTTGACATATTCACAAAGCCTCTCAAGTATGAAGACTTCACCAAGTTCGGACTTACAGAAAGCCAAGTTTAAAAGGGGGTGTTGAAATAATAAACATGATTTTAGTTCAATTAATTTACACACTTTCTAGAAGTATCTATTTATATTTTATTCATGTATTGTCAATGTTCATGTATTTTTGAGATTCATGTATTCATAGGATGAATGTATCTAGGAAGATTCATGTATGGTACATTGGATGTGGAAGATGTATTGTGATGACCTGAATTTTTTTAAAAAATAAAAATAAAAATAAAAATAAATAAAAGATAGAGAGATCAGGATCAAAATGTGTGGGGCAATGGAATGTTTTCTTTCGAGAGAAAAGGCTGGGACAAGAGTGAGTGGGAAGGGTTTCATTTAAGATATCTCTCTCTGGCCACTCATTGACTTGCACCACTATTAATGATAAACATAACTTCTCAAGACCTAGGGGATATCTCGGATTCTTAACTCGGTGCCTTCTTGTCAAAATCTTTATAAGAACTCCTTTACTTATCATTGTCTCCAAGATGACAAAAGCTTACAATTTGATGATGCCATCCAATTTCTAGAGCAATGTAAAAAGGAAAGGGCATGAGTTCTTGTCCACTGCATGTCTGAAAAAAAAACAGATCGCCAGGCATTGTGATAGCTTTTTGATGAAGAGCAAAGGATGGAGACTTGCACAGAGTTACCAATGGGTGATAGATCAGAGACCACCTGTTGAATTAACTCAAGCTGTCTACCGACAATTACAGGAGAATGAGCAGAAGATCTTTGGGTTGATTAAGAACAACACGGGGATCTTGCCAGTCTTCACGTCATCGACTGTCCCATCCTTCAGCTTCGGCCTCCCAAAGCCAAACGATCCGGTCCTTCTCCCTGCTTTCAACAATCCCAGTGCTCCGTCCATTTTTGCTCGTCCACTATTAGACATTGCTTCTCACGAGTTCACTTTTGGTGCAGTCCAGACTCATCAAAATCCATCTAGAGTCCGTTTTGGGGAAAAACCCGCCTAACCCAAATAGCAACGATATTGATATGGATGGTTCGTGATTTCAATGTGTTTCATTTTATTCCTTCTTCCTCTACTTCTCCTCTGCCTCTCGACGATCCCAGGGATGTGCTGAATAGTATTCACCCTCCAAGGCCAGATTGGTATGAGGAATTATATGTATTTATCTTGGATAAGGGCAATGAAGCATATGAGACAGAGGTTGCAGGTTTTAAGTCTCAGATCTTTACAAATTTGAGGGGAAAGGCTAAGACAGTGTTGGAGCTTGGCATTGGGATAGATCCTAATCTCAAATATTATGCCGGTGATAATGGTGTTCATGTTTTTGACATAGATCCCAAAAGAAAGATGATTCATGATGGGACCCCACCACAGCTTGGAATTCTGGGTTCTCCATCATTTGATCTTGGAATTTGATTATCTTTAAGGATATCCTAATTATTTAGAGTTCATTTAACTGCCGAGGACAATTCCTTGAAATTTTTAGAATTGAGAAATGTCGGTTGTTGCAAGTCAGGTTCTGCTGGGGTTGTAAATTGAAGTGCTTTGGATCAAAACGTAAAGGGTGAAAAAGGCGTTGTTTGGCTCCAAGAAAATTTAATTTCTATTGCCAAAAAAAAAAATTTTTTTTGAAAGCTTCTTGGCTTGAGGTAAGGATTTTTCCTACACTTCTTTATGTACTTTTACTTGATTATATGGAGTTTAGAGTTGCATATAATTTAATTAGAATTTTTGGAAATTTTGTGATTTATTTGCTTAAAAGAGAAATTTTGAGAAAAATAAAAAGTTGATGCCCAAATTACGAAAGTGTAAACTTGGAATATGTTTGTATGGTTATGAAAGAGCTGTGTTTTAAATTTGAACAAAAACAGACTTCGACTCGATCGGTTTTGAAATTTTTACCGGTTTGCGACCAAAAGAGTATTTTAAAGAAAACAAAGGAATTATGTTTAAATTTTGGGGTTTTTAATCAAAATAGGAAGTCATAGTTGAATAATTCTTGGAGAATGAGTTTGGAAAGAAAATGATATTTTCTTGGGAATTAACGGTATTATTTTGCTTAATGTATCTGTTGGAATAAAACCGACACGGTTTGAAATGGACCCTGAGAGGTTACTAGACGTGATTGTAATATGAAAACTAGTGTAGTTGTTCATATTTGATGAGATGTGGAATAGATTGTATCTGTCGAAATTTTTTTTGAAACTTAATTGTTTAAATATCTGTTTAGAAATATCTATTTTGAATTATCGGTAGAGGATAGCCATGATTGTTGTAGAAATGCATGAGACTTAGGTAAATTGAACCACATTCCTCATTTGTTGCATTGGACATTGCATTACATTCATTTCATTGGAAATGTATCTGCTTTAGAGAAATGTTTGGAAATGTATCTATGTGCGAAAAGATGAATACTTGGTGAATCTGGGTAGAGGGTGTTGAACCGCACGGTTAGGTGTCGAGCCTTCCAATTTACTGGTAAAAATGACAATGGTAGTGCATTAGGTCCTACTTGCAGACACTCACCTAGAGATTCACAGGGCCCGTATTCATGTAACAGATATGGTTTAGAATGGAAATGGTTTAATATTTGTTGTTACATCTCAACATTGCATGCTTTATAAAAAGAGAGGTAAAATGTTTTATCATGAGCATGGCATGAGCATACTCCTCTTTAGTCTTGTCATTGTTCATATGTTGTGTAGTATATCTCTACTAGGCTGTGGCTTACCTTATAAGGGAAATCATTTCAGGTACAGGTTTTATGCCTCCGCCAAGGCATTGACTTGGGAGGACTCGGAGCTGAGGCTTCATTTTTGTTTTACTGTTATTTGTTGAATATAAGCCCAGGGCTGTATTTGTGTTGTGTTGAAACTCCATTTTGTGTAATCAAGAATGTTCTTGGATAAATTTGTAAGCCTGTAGGGCACTTATTAGCTGTTTGGCTTTCATTTCATACTTGTTGTAAAGTGCATGCTTGGGATTGGAACTGGGGCATTGAGATGTGAATAACATGTATTTGGCGTTTGGGATTTAATGGAAATGGATGTATTGAATAGTTGGCTATACATATGTGTTTGTCTATCAGGTGGGTTTTGTATCATAAATAGATATACCCTGCCCAATTTTCAGGGCGTTACATGTATTGGTCTCTTGGCTTGTTCATTAGAGATTATAAATAACTCATGTACCTAAGTGTTTTAAGTAAGTGGAATCAAAAGATTTTAGTGTTAAGAATTCATCTTCCCTCTTCAATATCTCTAGCCTTTGTGTGATCCATTTTATTTCCAACAGTTTCATACACCTTTTCCCTTTCTTTTTTCAAATCTCTTCTTAAATCCCCAACCAAACACAACATTAGTATTGTTTGCAGATCATACTTTTGTTTTTTGTTTTTGTTGTGGATACTATTGATGGGTTTAGCTAATTTTGCATTTTTGATTTCTTGAGATTAGATATTTTTATGTGGTATTTTTTTTTTATTTTTGCTTTTTTATTAGAGAAAAAAAAAGTGATGCTAATCTTTTTTCTTATCTTATTTTTTCAATCTTAAAACACAAGGTAACAAGACTCACATTAATAAATGCACATGAGATCCACACACTTAAGTTTACGAGTGTGAAAATAAAGTAAAATATAAGATTATATGTAATATTTTAAAAAGAAAAATTATTAATTACAAAATAGTAGTTTTAAGAATTTTGGATTTAGGATGTACACTTTCAAAATTGTTGTTATGTGCTATACTTTAAGTAAAACTTGGCCATCGATTTTAATAATTTCAGGATACTTAACAATGTTGACCATACAATCACAAATCGATCAATGTCCAATACACATAGATATTAGAACTTCAAAAACTAGTCATCTATCTATCAACTAATACAATATGTAATTGCGCATTATATGCATCTGCGAGGAGTCAATTCCTGTGCATTCGCAATACTGAAGTAAAGAAAACATAGCAAAACATTGTATGATTACTCATGTATGCCTATACCTTCCTTTGACCATGATATAAGCTCTTTAATTTTTAGTTTTCTTTGTAAACAACATTTCAGTGTTTCTTTCAAAAATTAATTTTAGATTGACGAAAAAACTTATAACTTCTTATTTTAATTCTGAATTTGAATAAGCAGATTGGTACATGCTCAAGCCAATCATAGGCAAAACTAAAGCCCAAACAATGAAAAATATTTTTTGGAAGTATCTTTATTTTAGTGCAAAATTTAAAAAATATCATCACTTTTTCCATAGCTTCTTGTAATTTTGATTCTGGTGTACTTTTCAATGAAATCACCTGTTTGAAAATTATTAAAAAATTTCTTTACAGATTAAAAATACAAATATGTATATATATATAAAATCCTCCATGACATCTTCTAGAATCTTAGTATTCCCTTCATATTACATACAATACATATATATATGTATATATATATGTATTTTTGTACCGTGGACAATATAGCATTATAATCTAGCTCTTCAATTTGTACTTTAAAAGTAAATTATATAATCTTTATAATCATTATAATCTAGCTCCAACATTTCAATATTTTCAATTTTTAAATATTTAAAAAAAATAAATCCAAAAAATTTCAATATAAATCTCAAAACTCAAAATACATTTCAAAACTCATAATTAAACAAATTTTCTATTTTCAAAATTCAACTCAAAACTCATAGCTCAAAATACGACTCCACACTCAAATCATAATTTTAAAAAATAAAATAAAAAATATATGTTGTAGACGCGCTGGGCGTATTGTTGGACCTTCTATCACGATTTCAGCGTGGTTTTAGTGTCCCGTTCCTTACGCGATTTCAGCGTGTTTGGAATTTATCCTAAGTTGCGTTGTAGACGCGCTGGGCGTATTGTTGGACCTTCTATCACGATTTCAGCGTGGTTTTAGTGTCCCGTTCCTTACGCGATTTCAGCGTGTTTGGAATTTATCCTAAGTTGCGTTGTAGACGCGCTGGGCGTATTGTTGGACCTTCTATCACGATTTCAGCGTGGTTTTAGTGTCCCGTTCCTTACGCGATTTCAGCGTGTTTGGAATTTATCCTAAGTTGCGTTGTAGACGCGCTGGGCGTATTGTTGGACCTTCTATCACGATTTCAGCGTGGTTTTAGTGTCCCGTTCCTTACGCGATTTCAGCGTGTTTGGAATTTATCCTAAGTTGCGTTGTAGACGCGCTGGGCGTATTGTTGGACCTTCTATCACGATTTCAGCGTGGTTTTAGTGTCCCGTTCCTTACGCGATTTCAGCGTGTTTGGAATTTATCCTAAGTTGCGTTGTAGACGCGCTGGGCGTATTGTTGGACCTTCTATCACGATTTCAGCGTGGTTTTAGTGTCCCGTTCCTTACGCGATTTCAGCGTGTTTGGAATTTATCCTAAGTTGCGTTGTAGACGCGCTGGGCGTATTGTTGGACCTTCTATCACGATTTCAGCGTGGTTTTAGTGTCCCGTTCCTTACGCGATTTCAGCGTGTTTGGAATTTATCCTAAGTTGCGTTGTAGACGCGCTGGGCGTATTGTTGGACCTTCTATCACGATTTCAGCGTGGTTTTAGTGTCCCGTTCCTTACGCGATTTCAGCGTGTTTGGAATTTATCCTAAGTTGCGTTGTAGACGCGCTGGGCGTATTGTTGGACCTTCTATCACGATTTCAGCGTGGTTTTAGTGTCCCGTTCCTTACGCGATTTCAGCGTGTTTGGAATTTATCCTAAGTTGCGTTGTAGACGCGCTGGGCGTATTGTTGGACCTTCTATCACGATTTCAGCGTGGTTTTAGTGTCCCGTTCCTTACGCGATTTCAGCGTGTTTGGAATTTATCCTAAGTTGCGTTGTAGACGCGCTGGGCGTATTGTTGGACCTTCTATCACGATTTCAGCGTGGTTTTAGTGTCCCGTTCCTTACGCGATTTCAGCGTGTTTGGAATTTATCCTAAGTTGCGTTGTAGACGCGCTGGGCGTATTGTTGGACCTTCTATCACGATTTCAGCGTGGTTTTAGTGTCCCGTTCCTTACGCGATTTCAGCGTGTTTGGAATTTATCCTAAGTTGCGTTGTAGACGCGCTGGGCGTATTGTTGGACCTTCTATCACGATTTCAGCGTGGTTTTAGTGTCCCGTTCCTTACGCGATTTCAGCGTGTTTGGAATTTATCCTAAGTTGCGTTGTAGACGCGCTGGGCGTATTGTTGGACCTTCTATCACGATTTCAGCGTGGTTTTAGTGTCCCGTTCCTTACGCGATTTCAGCGTGTTTGGAATTTATCCTAAGTTGCGTTGTAGACGCGCTGGGCGTATTGTTGGACCTTCTATCACGATTTCAGCGTGGTTTTAGTGTCCCGTTCCTTACGCGATTTCAGCGTGTTTGGAATTTATCCTAAGTTGCGTTGTAGACGCGCTGGGCGTAT